TTATCGAGACTGATTCAGAGAGTCTATATTATTTGCAGTTACTACTATTTTTAGAGTAAGTGTTCCAGGGCAACAATGATGACAGCACCAATAGGACAGGACCCTGATTAAGATATATTAATTGTTCAGATCAACTAGGGGCTTGTGTAGGGACAGAGGGTACATAGGAAATAAATCTCAGTGCCTTTCTCTCAACTCTGCTGTCAGCCTAAAACTGCCCAAAAACTAAAGTTTAATTTAAAAATGTTGAAATTATACTCAAAAATAAATTTTTATATAGGATCAGTAAGGCAGGAATAATTTATCATACAGGCAATGGAGAACCAAGCAATGTTTAATTATGACAGTGAGATATTTAAATATATTTGAAAAATAAAACATTGAATTAAACTGATAATAATTAAAGGATAATACTGAATGTTTAAAACATCATTAGAGTAGTATAAGCTAAAGAATAAGTGGAGATTGCAGAAATATTTTTTAATTAGGTCAGAAAACAGTTCAAATCTAAATTTGGGAGGGTGATGTCAGCATCATGATGGAGTGAGAGGACCCCATTCTGTCTCCCCTTACATTTACAACAAATCAGGCATCTATAAATGCAACACAGGTTCCTCTGCTCAACACACAAACACACCTGAGAGATTCACTCATCGGGATATCTGAAAGCAGGACTATTGGAATGTGTAGGAAAGGCCAGACAGGGGAAGGACAGGGATAGTGTCCTCAGATTCAGGTTGGTGGCCACTGCAGCTCCAACTAATGCAGTAGCAGCGGAGGAGTTGGGGTGCAGCCCCCACACTATGGTCCACTGGAGGGTAAGAAGGGCAGAAGCAAGGTCAGTGCCCAAGCTCTCCATCCCCCCAATCCCACTGCTGTGGAAATGTGTCTGAGGCCACCTGCTATAGCACAGCAGTGCAGTTGGCCATAAGAAACAAGGAAGCAGCACTGCGAGCTTGTGAACCCAGCTCCTCCCCACCTGCCACATCCCCCCACCATGATTGTGGTGCCCCAAGACACTGAGGTAACACAGACACAGCAGGGATACCCACCATCCCAATTACCCAGACATCAATTTCCATGATCACAGTGACAACCTCCCCCACACAACTCCCAGAGGAGCAAGTACAGCAGGTGAGAGAAAACAAAAACTGAGCTAAATCTACTGGAAAATGAGAGAAATGCCTCTACTTACCAACCTGCTAAAGTGTTAAGATAAAAATGGCATCTAAACAGGAAAAGAGTTCACTACTTCAAATGCGTAGGAGAAGAATGATCCATCAAGTACCATGAACAACCAAGGTAACATGGTAACAGAGAAAGAAAATGACACCAAACTCAAAGTCATGGAAGAGTGTAATCTAAATGACAGAATTCAAGATTGCTGTCATGAATAAAACTTGCTGAAATACAAGAAAACTTCGAAAGGCAGTTCAATGAGCTCAGAAATAAAATAAGTGAACAGAAGGAGTACTTTACCAAAGAGATGGAAACTAGGAGAGAATCAAACAAATTCTGGAGCTGAAGAACTCAATAAATGAGATGAAGAAAACTTTAGAAAGCACTAGAAATGAAACAGGCCAGATGAAAGACAGAATTAGTGAGCTTGAAGATAGAAATCTAGAAATGACCCAAGTAGAACAAAAAAGAGAACTGAGAGTTTAAAAATACATTAAATAATTCTAACTATCTGACTCCATTAGAAAGAACAAAATAAGGATATGGATTCCTGGAAGGAGAAGAGGAGGAGATGGGAACAGAGAGCCTACTCAAAGAAATAATTGACAAGAACTACCCAAACCTAGGGAAGGAATTAGACATTCGAGTGCAAAAAGCTAACTTAAAGCTATTATCTTGACACAAAAAGTCCTTCTCCAAGACACATATTAAAGCTGTCAAAAGTTAATGATATCCCAAACAAGAAAAAGCTAAAATCAAGAACTGTTAAAATCAAGAACTGTTAAAATCAAGAACTGTTAAAGAGATTTCTTAAAAAGAAGGGGTAAAAAATAACACAAATATGAATGATAAAATGGCAATAACTCTGTACCTGTCAATAATCACTAAGTGTAAATGAGTTAAATGCTTCAATCAAAAGATATAGGGTGGCTGAATGAATAAGAAAACAAGACCCTTACATATGCTGCCCATAAGAGACCCACTTCAGATTGAAAGACACACACAGACTGAAAGTAAGAAAGAAAAAAAAAAAGGGAAAATGTTAATAAGAAAGAAAGAATTCTCAAGGCAGCCAGCAGGGAAAAAGACAGTAATCTACAAATAAGGTTATCAGTAAAAAAACATATAGGCCAGGAGAAAGTGGAATAATACATTCAAAATATTGGAAAAAAACCCACAAGCCAATAATAATAATTTAGCAGCTATCCTTTAGCTATGAAGGAGAAATAAGGCTTTCCTAGACAAACAAAAGCTAGGAAATTTACCACCACAGGACCTGCATTACAAGAAACATTAAAAGGAACTATTCTACCTGAAGCTAAAAGACAAAAGTGTACAAAACTTTGAGTAAGGTGACAGACAGACCGAAGCAAGAAATTGCAAATCTATTTCAGAATGGGGTATTAAACACAATTATAACATAAAGATCGAAGGTGGAAACATGGAAAAATAACTATAGCTAAAATACACAGCTAACATCATATTCAATGGTGAAAAGCTGAAAACTTTTTCTGTAAGGTTAGAAACAAGACAAGGATGCTCACTCTAACTACTCTTATTGAACATATTATTAGAAGTCCTAGCCACAGCCATCAGAAAAGAGAAATTAAAGGTAACCAAATTGGAAAGGAAGAAGTAAAATTTTCACTATTTGCAGATGGCAAAAATTCTAAAATCAGTATGGAACCACAAAAATATCCTGAATATCTAAAGCAAGCTTGAGAAAGAAGAACAAAGCTGAAGGTGTCATGCTCCCTGATTCTATACTATACATAGTAATCAAAAAATTGCAAAACTGTTATTCTCAGGAGCATTTGAGATCTTGGTCCCTGGCATACATAGGTCATCAGTTTGGCTCAAATAAACTCATATAAAAATTCTCAAAAAAAAAAAAAGCTGTTGTAATCAAAACAGCATGGTGCTGGCATAAAAACAGACACATGGATCAATGGATCAAAATAGCCCAGAAATAATCCATAATTATATGGTCATTTAATCTATGACAAATGAGGCAAGAATACACAATAGAGTAAAGATAGTCTCTCCAATATATGTTATTGAAAAAACTGGACAGATACATGCAAAAAAATAATAAAAGTAGACCATTTTCTTATACCATATACAAAAATAAACTCAGAATGGATTAAAAACTTAAACGTAAGACCTGAAACCATAAAACTCCTAGAAGAAAACATAGGCAGTAAACTCTCTGATATTAGCTTTAGCAATATATTTTTTTTACGCCTACAGCACCTAGTCCTCCTAGGTGGTCTCCCATCCAAGTACTAACCAGGCCCGACCCTAGCAATAGTTTTTTAGATATGTCTCTTTGGGCAAGGGCAACAAAAGCAAAAACAAACAACTGGAACTACATAAAACTAAAAGGTTTTTGCACAGCAAAGGAATCCATCTACAAGATGAAGAGGCAACCTACTGAATGGGAGAAAATATTTCCAAATGATATGTTCAATAAGGAGTTAATAGCCAAAATATATTTTAAAATATGTACAACTCAATATCAAAACAAATCCAAATTAAAAAATGGGCAGAGTCTGAATTGACATTTCTCCAAAGAGGACATACAAATGGTCAACCGACATAGAAAAAGATGTTCATCATCACTAACCATCAGAGAAATGCAAATCAAAACCACAATGAGATATCACCTCACACTTGTCAGAATGGCTGTCTTCAATAAATCAACAAATAAATGTTGGTGAGGACGTGGAGAAAAAGGAAATCTCATGCACTGTTGGTGGGATTGCAAATTGGTACAGCTACTACGGAGAACTATATGGAGGTTTCTCAAAAAATCAAAAATAGAACTACCACATGAACCAGAAATTCCATGTCTGGATACTAAAAAAAAATATGAAAACACTAATTCATAAAATTACATGCACCCCTATTTTCATTGCACCTTTATTTACAATAGCCAAGACATGGAAACAATCTAAGTGTCATCGACGAATGACTGGATAAAGAAGACATACATATATGCACATACACACACATGATGGAATATTATTCAGATATCAAAAAATTGCCATTTATTAGAACATAGATGGATCTTGAGAATATCATACTAAGTGAAATAAGTCAGATGGAAAGGGACAAAAACCTTACGACTTCACTCATATGTGAAATATAAAACAAAAAAGTAACAAATGAACCAGTAAAACAAAAACAAACTCATAGATACAGATAATAGAATGGTGGTTACCAGAGGGGAAGTGGGTGGGGAGAAGGCAAATTTGATAAAGGGGGTCAAACATATGGTGACAGAAGGAAACTAGACATTGCATCTAGTTTCTAGATTATTAATAGAGTATATAGATATCAAATTATAAGGTTGTACACCTGAAATTTCTATAATATTAATAACCAATGGACAAATTTTGACAAACTAAAAATGGAAAATTTGGGGGGATGTTAGGAGTAGCACTAACAATAAAACCTAAAATCAATAGACACATTCTTAGCATTGCTTCTAAGTCAGAAGTTTCAGAGGACTGTGGTTCCTTCAAACCTAAGCTCCTATATTCCAGGACATCCAGTAAGATAATAAAGTCATGATTTCCAAAGCGTCTATCCCTTTAATGCAATTGTTCTAAGTATTACAAGGTAGGATGGGGATTTTAGAGATGGGGACGGAGGTCTTAGGCACAGACATGCATACTGAGTCATATTCCATGATCATTTTGAAGGAGTAGCTATGACATCACAGTCCCTACTGCCATGATGGACAATTAATTCATAGGACAGGATATGCCAGGAGGGTAAACAACCATTGTGAGAAGATTACTTCAGGATATCCCCCATCAGAGGAGAACACCTTTGATCATGTACTCATCCTTGCCCCAGGGTTGATGTAAAATGGTCAGGTGAGGACTTCTGTCTTCCATGGCTGTCAACAGCAGCTGAGTTTCCTCATCAAATGCAGATTTGTCCAGTCTGGGAAGATAGAAATATTTGGTCTCTATTCAGCACAATGCCTATACTTTCCTCTCCATTCTTCCTTAGAAACAACTGGAAGAATTGCATTGAAAGTGGAGAGAAAGCATGAGTCTTCCCTATAGAACAGGAATGTGAGGAATGGGAACATGAACCATTTTGTTCACCCTCAGCATGTCAGCCAGGGGCCTGGCATCTAAAAGGCATTCAAATATTCATTCTACAGGTGTCAAATATATACAAATATTTGACAATGCAAATACAATGTTTAGAACAATATTAACTGCAACTGTGCCAGGAATGTACTTTGGGTCAATGTTCCACTCAACTCTTTATAGAATCCCTCCCACCTCAGAGCTGGGATTACATATTTATGGGCAATGTAAGTAGAAGATGGTGTTGCTGGTAAACAAGTGGTTCTCACCTGGGGCAACCAAGCCTCTCAAGAGACATTTGACAATATCTGAAGACATTTTTTTTATTTCAGGGAATAAGTGTGATAGCTGTTCTTTAATTTTTTTGTTGAGATGTGATTGACATATAACATTGTATAAATTTAAGGTGTACAATGTGTTTGTTTGACACATCCGTGTATTGCAATACAATGACCTCCATCATGTCTCTTAATTATAATTTCTTTTTCATGGTGAAAACAATTAAGATCTAGTCTCTCAGAAACTTTAAAGTTTCCATTTTTGATCATCATGATTGGAAGGAGGTGCTACGGTCACATAATGTACAGGTGGAAGCCAGGGACGCCACTCAACATCCTTCAATGCACAGGACAGCCACTCACAGCAAAGAACTCTGTAGCCCACATGTCGATCATATGGAGGCTAGGCAAACCTATCTATTGTAAATTAACCTCACTCTGAGGTCCCTCACCACTCACCCAAGCAGCTGCAGGGCACAGTCTGGGTGGCTCAAGGCTTCACACAGCACCACCAACCCATCATGGTCCAAGCTATTCCAGTCCAGGTTCAGGCCTCTCAGTGATTTGCAGACAGTGAGAGCTGAGGCCAGGTCCTTACAACAGGCAGAGGTGAGCTGACATATTTCCAGCCTGCAATAAGGAAACATATGAGAAGCCATCCCCAGCTTTGGGTGGGCTGGATGGCACACTATTGTGAGATACCAATTCCATGCCTCTGAGGAGACTTTATGTTCTAGAGCAGTGGTTCTCAACTGGGGCCACTGTATTTCCTGGGGGACATGTGACAATGTCTGGAGATGTTTGACACAACTGGAGAGTGCTACCAGCATCTCATGGGTAGAAAGAGGCCAGGGATGCAGATAAACATTTACAATGCACAGGTCAGTCCCTGCTCCCCATCACAGCAAAGAACCACCCAGTCCAAATGTCAATAGTGCCAAAGTTGAGAACCCTGGTCTTACAGGACAGCATTTTACTTATCAAATTGCTCCAGACACCCTGGCTTTTAAACCGCTCCCCTTCAGTCCCATTAATCCTTCAGATTTTTATATTCTTGAAATAGGAAAGCCTTCCCATAAAGATAATCTGTGGACACTCACCCAAGATTCTCTAGTTTACAGTTAGGGTGCTTCAAAGCTTCACATAACTGTTTGACACCAGAATCTTGTATTTTATTGTCCCCTAGTTTCAGGGTCTTTAGTTTTTCATTGCTACTAAGAACAACAGAGAGGTCCTTACAGCAAACAGGAGTGAGGTAACAACCTGCCAACCTGAGGTAAAAATACACACAAATAGATATAGTCATGAGATTGAATGCTTAATGGCCTACCTTATTTGATTTATTGATATGAAGAACAAAATTCCCAAGTACTTCTGAGATGATGAGGATGATGGTGATGATGATTGATGATGATGATTGATGATGATTGTGATGATGATGTTAGTGGTGGTGATGATGGTGATGATGATGGTGATGGTGGTGGTGGTGACTGATGATAATGAAGATGATGGTAGGAAAGATCCAACAACTTCTCAGTTCCTCCTTCTCAGCCCAACACCCTGGGCTCTCTGTAATCCTCCTACCCTGTGTGTTCTCCCCATCCCAGGGCCTCTGCCCTTATTGTTTCCACTGGTTGGAATGCTCCTGGCCCAAATACCAGCAGGGCTACCTCTCACTACCTTCAAATGTCTGCACAAATGTCACCTTTTGGTGAGGACTTCCCTTTATATTTTATATAATATCATGTCCCCAATCACTCTCCTACATTTAAGCTCATGATTCCCCACAGTACTTCTTACCACTAACATGTGTCTGTATACACATGCACACATATATGTGTATACATACACACCTGTGCATAAGTTTGACATATGTATATGGTCACAGATATATATAGGCACATATATACACACACACGTATATATCAGATAATTTGTGTGGTGTGGGTATGCGTATTTGTGGTTCTCAAGCAGGGCACATTAGGCAATGCCTGGAGACATTTTTAGTTGCCACACTGGGTAGAATCCAGGGATGCTGCTAAACACCCTACCAGGCACAAGACAGAGCCCCCTAACCAAAGAATGATCTGGGCCAAAATGTCAATAGTGCTAAAATTGAGAAACTATGATATATACACTTATACACACATACTTGCAACCTCACTCATGCATGTGTGCACGCATCTATGTGTACGTGTATCTATGTACATATATGACGCTCCATAAAACCAACATCCATGGAGCAGTTCATTTACCAATTTATCTCATCTACCCAGAAGAGTTCCCAGTACCTACTAGGGGGAATGAATGATCCTCCTGTTGTGTCTCCTACCACCATTTACCGAGTGCTTGCTATAGGCAAGTCACTGATAATAATTCTGTATGTGCCTTACTCCCGCTAGCTGCCTCAGTTTTTTGAGGTGGGGAATATAATTATCCTCAATCTCCATTCCAGGAGAGGTAAGGCATCTTCACAAGTTCATCTAGCTAGTCTAGTCAATAGAACAGGGAACTCTATTTCCAGTCTTCCTGAGGCCAGAGACTGTTCTACAGAGTAGCAGGTCCCAAAAGTTATGAAAAGTCCTTTAAGACACACAAACATCAATGCACTGCTGGACCTTCCTAGAAGTATCAGGCGGAGCCAACATTTAGCCTCATTTTTTTCAGCAGACTCCCTGCTTTTCTCCCGTCCCATTTCCCTTGCAGGATGACAATACCCAGAAAAAAACCCTGACATTCAAGCAAATCATAGCCAGACCTACCATAGCTGCTGTAAGTTGCAGGTTGGGTGCTTCAATGTTTCACATAGAGACATCACTCCATCGTCTTCCAGGAAGTTGGACCCCAGATCGAGAAGGGACAGGGATTTGTTACACAAAAGTGCTTGGGATATGTAGTCACAAGCAACAGAGTTGAGGCAACAGTATGTTAACCTGCAGAGAAAAGGACATACACACTTAATCTGTCAGCCTGCTTAAACTCTATATGGTAATATTTTCATAAAACCACATGCAAAAACTTTGTCATTCTTCATACTCCAAAGTCACTTGAAAAAAATAAGAGAATTAAAATGCGTAACACCTGTGGAAATACAGAAGCAAGAATGTGTAATATGGTGTCCCAAACTGAGAAACAGAATCTCAGATCCACGTCAGAACGTCACCAGCTGGACAACCTTGGACAAAGTCATCCTTTGTCCAAGCACACAGTGTGCTTATTTATTTGGTGGAATGTGCTAGATGACATCCTATTTAACATAATTTTTCTTTCAAAAATATTACTTAAAAATTATGTTCTTTAACTATTATTTAGAAATTAACAATATTTGTGGTTTTGGTGCTTGTATACACGGTATTGGAAATTTGAAAAATAAGGGGAGGCATAAGAGAGAAGTTTCTCTACCTGGTAGCCAACAACTGAATATGACACCTTGAATGTAGCTGGTTTAGTTGACATCATGTTTAATCAAGAGATTTCACATGGAATTCTATGCTTTCCAGCTACCACCAGATAAGCCAGACACCTGGAATTTCACAGCAGATGGTCACACAGGAGAAGGGAACAGAAATTTCCTCTTGGGTGGGGCAGGCAGTGTCCAGCTCACTGTCATCCTCACCCAGCCCTTGCTCACTCCACTTATCTGCCCATTACCCTTCAGGAACACCCAAGAATGTGACATCTTACAGGAAGAATACACAAGTCCTTGATAAGCAAACACTACTCACTTGCGATGGGTCTTCCCTTCTAGTGTTCTCATTTTTGAGATCAAACAATAGGCACTTAATTTATACTTTTCTCAATAAAATAAGCATTTTCCAATATTTCGAAGATTTGTCAGTACTTTAATGGTTGCATGCTGTAATCTCCAAAGGCTCACTATGGTATGATCACACATTCTCTGAATATTTCCACATGTATTCTTTCACTTCCCGCCATTTTAAATTATACTAAATTACCATTTTGCATCAAAAAAATTTTATTTGAAGTGCTGAGGTTTACTATTAACAGATATTTCATTTGGTTTATATACCAACTTACCTTGCAAAAAAACCAACAAATTAAAACTTCAATCATAGCATAAATTTGCCCATTTTGCAGAATCCAGGCCAAGTGAAGGCTATCTTAAAATTGTACACATTTGTTAAAAAGTGTGTTTTGTTGAACATTTTTGCTTTTTAAATTACTAGTGACATTCTTTAAAAATAAATATAAATTAAAAATTAAAAATGACTAAACATTCTTGCATCTTTGGTAATCTTTCTTTCAATGAATAAAGATTTAAGAGTAAAAGAAAATAATGTTAAATGATGTATTTTAAAGAGCTCTTTTGATAAACACAACTCTTTAATTACCAGTCATTGCATACAGTATAATTCAGCGGTCCCTAACCTTTTTGGCACCAGGGACTGGTGGTCCTATGAGAATCTAATGCCTGATGTTCAATGCCTGGTGGAGCGGAGGCATTGATGTTAGCACTGGGGAGCAGCTGCAAATACAGATGAAGTTTCACTCGCTGGCCCACCACTCACCTCTTGTAGTGCGGCCTGGATTTTTAACAAGCCACGGATAGTACCAGTATGCAGCCCGGGGGTTGGAGACTCCTCTCTAATTCTATTTATTGTATAACGTCAGTTAATAGCTAAATTTTTTATCTTCCAGTATGTCACTTCTTTTGTACCTCCAAAGATGCTTCATACTAATTTTTATAGCTTGAAGTTTTGGGGGTTTTTTCCCTTTTCTTTCTTTTTGAAATAGTTTGGTTTTAGTATTTAATGTTCCTGGTATTTATTGTACTGCTGAATTTCTTTTACAGTCTGAAAAGTCATCTCAGTGACAGTTAGCATCCTCACTCTGTTCTATTTTAAATACCATGGTGCCTGTGTATGATGCATATGTACATACACATGCATGTACACACAAACAGAAATTTTGCTCCCAGACAACTCATCTGCTTCCACAGGCTTAGGTGTTCTTGTGCCTGCCCCCAATTTAAGGCACTGAATCTCTCTGCTTGATTTAACACTGTCTCTCGTGTGCACACGCCACCTTCTCAGCCTTCCCCATGAGCATGTGGTTGTCCTGATAGCTGAGGGGTCCACGAGCACACACCCACCCCTCCCGCCGACTTACAGCAGTGTCTCCAGGGCACAGTGTGGGTGCTTCAGGGCATTACATAGTAACATCACACCGTCATTCATCACGGGGTTTTCTATCAAGGAGAGAAGCTTGAGCCTCTGGTTGCAGACCAGGACAGAGGTGATCTCTCTGCAGGCTTCAACTGTGATGTTGCACTTGCCCAACCTGCATATTAGACACGTGTTGAGGGACATGAGCAGAGGTATCCAATGGCTTGTGCTAAGTTGGCAAACAGAGACAGACTCATAGACGCTAAGAACAAACTGATGGTTGCCAGATAGGAGGGGACTTGAGGGGCTGGATGACAAAGGGGAAGGGATGAAGAAGTACAAATTGGCAGTTACAGAACAGTCACAGAGAGGTAAAGTACAGCACAAGGAATATAGTCAATAATATTATAATAACTGTGTATGGTGCCAGGTGAGTACTAAACTAATCTGGGTGATCAATTCATAAATTATATAAATGTCTAAGCACTATGCTATACACCTGAAACTAATATAATATTGTATGTCAACTGTAACTGAAAAAAAATTTTTTTGGGCTGTGGACCACACCCCAGTTTCTAATCTCACACCTGCCAATCCAATGTCTACGTTCCACACTTTTCAAAAGCACAAACAAAATTAATCTTTGATTGCTTTTCACTGAAGTTAGGAAAATGTCTGAGCCAGTGGTTCTCAACAGGGGTGACTGCTGACCTCGAGGGGACATTTGTCAGTGTGTGGAGACATTTGTGGTGGTCGTGGCTGGGGAGCAGGGTGTTCCTAGCATCCAGTGGGTGGAGGCCAGGGATGCAGCTCAACACCCTACAATGTTGTGGACAGCCCTCCACAACAAAGCATTATCTGGGGACTCAATCAGTCTGATCATCTGATTACTCGTCAATAGTTCTGAGGTTGAAAAACCCCCGGTCTAAGCCCTAATGCAGCTTAAAAGAGCATCTCACAGGCTAGAGCAGGTCTCTCACTTTCTGTGCTGCTGACTTTTGGGGCTGGCTGTTGCAGGAAGCTGAGCAGCACCCTTGGCCTCCCCCCACTAGATGCCTGTAGCATGCTCCCCATGCAATTGTAATCATCAAAAATGTCTTTGGACACTGACATCTCCCAAGGCACAAAACTACTGTCCATTGAGAACTACTGGCTAGAGAGACCCAGATTTTGAGGCCCTCTCACCCCAATACCAAACAGGACTCAAGAGTATAGCCCCAAAGAGGCAAACCTTCCAGGTATAAAACGTCTACAATTGACTCCTGGTTTCCTAGCTCTGTTACCCTATTCTGAAGCTAACATATAACATATAAAACCCTATGCAAATGGCATAACATGAAGTGGGGCAAAATATTCAGGAATTCTGTAAGTTCCCTCTGAATAGAGAAAGCTAGAACAGAGGAAATTGTGGTGATATGGAAATTCTCTGAACAATGACTAGGATTCACAGCAATGTTCAAGCAAACTCTTATGCAAGGAACCCTCCTAAATGTTCAAGCAACTCTTATGCAAGGAACCCTCCTCCTTCTCCTGATGCATCTTGATGGGTGCAGCTAACTGGATATGTGTGAATCCAACCATTGTATTTGTGATCGTTCCTGCAAAAAAGAGGCGCTAAGCCAAGAGAGAGAAGAGCATGTTTTCTTGGCGAGTTTAATAAGTTGGTTTTGTTTATTCCTACCTCTATTACTTCCGTTTGTTCTTTCTGCAAAAAAAAAAAAAAAATGGGTTGAGCCTGTCCAGAAATCACCCAGCCATGGTGGGGTCACCCTGGGTAACTTTTAAGAGGAAGAAATAATTTGGGGGCCAACTAACCACTTTCTCTTTGGACCATATTTTGCCATCAGGCAGATTAGACAATCACAATTGTGGTCATTGATATGCTTTCTCATTTTACCTTTATAGGAATATCTCCAAGAGGAAGTATTTGGAGTTGTGTTTTTGGCATGGTTGGTCAAAGGCAGAAGCAAGAAGAGTCAGGTTAGGTGTCCATGAGAAGTCAGTCAACTGAGTAACACAGAAGGGACCAATGGGACAACTCTGCTGACAGAACGCCTTGCCCATTAGAATCCATCCCCACCTTACTAGGTGGTCTGCAGATGCTCAGATGGACATTAGGGGAAATCTGGGAGACAAAGGCTGACACGGGAAAGGAAATGGGCCTACTCAAATGCCAAGTCCACTGTCACTCATCACAGACAACCCCAAGACTTACATCAGCTGCTCTACATTGCACATAGGGTGTTTCAGCATCTCACACAGCTGCCGGACTTCTACGGGGGAGAGGCTGGTGCCATGCAGGTTCAGGTATTTCAGATGAGGGTTGTGAAGAACAGCCTTGAAGAAGTCAAGACCATTCCCAAGGCTGGAAGCAAAATTATACCTACAAGAGATGAGATATTGGAACCTATGTGATGAAGCCTAAGCACAAAGCAAGGTACTTTGTACCAAATTCTTCCTACATCCCTGCAGAGGCTTATGAAGCTGTTTTTAGATCTCTGGTTACTCTTGCCTATAAATTATTTTTCTTTGGGATCTTCAGACACCTGACAAGCTCAGAGGCTCCATGGCATGGATCTCTCCTGTTTCCTAGTCCTTCCTATTCTACCCACCACTTCTCACTCTATAATGGAGGGGACCCAAAGTCATCTCTCAAATTCATTGTATTGAATTCTCAGCACCAGGACAGAGACCTCTCAGCACCATATTTGTGCCTCTGTGCATCCCTAAGCTAGCACAGTGCCTCACATTCAGCAGAGATGTACAAAGTTGAATTAATGCTCCAAGCAAGACTGTGTTACCAAAAAAAGAACCAACGTGGAGAAAAGGGAACCCTTGTGCACTGTTGGTAGGAATATAAATTGGTGCAGCATCTATGGAAAACAGTATGGAGGTTCCTCAAAAAGTTAAAAATAGAACTACCTTATGACCCATCAATTCACTTATGGGTATTTATCCAAAGAAAACCAAATCACTTATGAGTATTTATCCAAAGAAAACCAAAACACTAATTCAAAAAGACATATGCACCCCTATGTTCACTGCAGTGCTATTTACACAATATCCAAGATATGGAAGCAACCTAAGTGCTCAACAATAGAAAAGTGGATAAAGAAGATGTGGCACGTATATACAATGAAATCCTGATATTTCCTACAACATGGATGGAACTAGAGAGTTTTATGCTAAGTGAAATAATTCAGACAGAGAAAGACAAATAGTGTATGATCTCACTTAAATGTGGAAACTAAAAAATAAAATGAACAAATGAACAAGGCAGAAACAGACTCACAGAGAACAAACTGGTGGTTGCCAGATGAAATTGGGATTGGGGGATTGGGTGAAAAAGGAGAAGGGATTTGAAAAAGATTTTTAGAAATTATATATTTATATATAATTTTTATATTTATATATTTTATATACTTTAATTTTTATTTTTCAATTAGAGTTGATATTCAATGTTATTTTATATTAGTTTCAGATGTACAGCATAGTGGTTAGACAGTTATATAATTTATAAAGTGATTTCTGCAATTATACTCTTATGAATTTATATATTTATATGTGCTTATATTTATATATACTCATATATTTCTATATGCTTTTATGTATTTCTATTTTTCTATCTTATTTATATATTTATTATTTACATGATTTATAAATACATGCCACACAATCTGTGACTCTCAGTGTCATGACAGCAGACTTGAGCACACCCTGACTTCTCCCCAACCAATCAACTTTGAGAAATGACAGAGGCTAAAACAAGTAAATGTTCTGCCATGTTCAAACACCACAGTGGGAATTATGAATAGGAAGAAAGAAAAAATAGAGGAGAATGAACTGACGAGAAAGTGGCAGCCTGGAAGCATTGTGGCCATTCCGGGCAGAGGGGCCCCCTAATTGTGTGGGCAACATCCATGGCACTTCCAGCCCAGATATTGAGGGAACAAAGGGACAGGGTCAGTCACAGTCAGGATGAGATAGGCTGAGCCTGCTAACAAGGAGAAGTGCTACCATAGAAAGACAGGGAATGCCCTTGATAGCCAGAGATCTCTGAGAAATGAGGGCATCAGGACAGCAAGGTCAGGCCCCCCAAGGACTTTGCCACTGAAAACACTGTGATTCACAGGGCAGGCAGCTGCAAAGGACTCGGACTCCAGGCCAGCAAGAGGTCCTGAGTCAGTGGACAGTAGGGTGAGAAGATGACCACTGAGTGAATGTGCAATCAAGACTCATCACCAGTGAAGGATCAACAACCTCAGGGAAAGGAGACAAACTAAGATGAAGTGTTAGTGGGAAATAACTCAAGCAAAGGAAGACAAACACCATGCGATCTCATTTACATGTGGAATCTCAAGAACAAAATAAATGAACAAACAAAACAGAGACAGACTCATAGATACAGAGAACACTTTGATGATTTACAGATTGGAAGGGGGGTTGGGGGACTGGGTGACAAAGGGGGAGTGATAAAGAAGTACAAATTGGCAGTTACAAAATAGTCTTGGGGATGTAATTACAGCACAGAGAATATAGTCAATAATATTATAACTATAGATGGTGCCAGGTAAGTACTAATCAGAGTGATCACTTCATAAATTATATAAATGTCTAACCACTATGCTGTACACCTGAAACTAACATAATATTGAATGTCAACTGCAATTGAAAAATAAATTCTAAAAATTTTTTTTAAACATTCGTTAGGCAAAAACCACAATGGAGGCCACATTTGTTTGAATGTACCGCTGGACCAAAATACGCACAATCTCTAAATCCAAGTGTGACCTCGATTTTCCCCAAATGTGGGTGCTAATCTTAAACAAAACTTAAGCTTTCTTCATGTCAGGGTGAACTTGAAGATTCCTAGCTAATCAGCTGCATACAGGTGAACGGATCCAACAAGACGGCACATACAGTTCTTGTGACCACATGTAGAAGCAAGCAATATATTTTGTTTTTCCTACAAATTTGTATCACGTAATGCTTTCTGAGTTCACTTTTGACATATTAGATTGTAGCTCTGTGTTGACACATTGATTTATCAAGCCAAAAAGCTTAATATTGAATATCAACTATAATTGAAAATTTTTTTTAATAAATTTAATTTTTAAAAAATTACAAAAGGGGAAAATATGAGGAAATTAAGGCTTATGAAAAAGTGATGGCTTATTATTTCTGGAAAAGAACCTAACATTACTCTTATTTCTAGTCATTCTTACTTGTTCATTGAATATTTTAGTTTATTAAAATATTTGTACATATTCAAAGAAATAACATACTAAAAATATAAAAATAAAAAGTTTGGGCACAGCAAAGGAAATCAATGAAAAAGAGAGCCTACTGAGTGGGAGAAGATATTCACCAATGATACATCAGATAAAGGGTTGACATCTAAAATATATAAGGAACTGATACAACTCAATAACAAAAAAAATAAACAATCCAATCGAAAAATGGGCAGATGACTTGAATAGGCATTTTTTCAAAGAGGACATACAGATGGCCAATAGACATATGAAAAGATGTTCATCCCTAACCACCAGAGAAATGCAAATTAAAACCACAGTGAGATATCACCTCACATCTGTCAGAATGGCTATCATCAATAAATCAACAAACAACCCGTGATAGTGAGGATGTGGAGAAAAGGGAACCTTCATACACTGTTGGTGGAACTACAAATTGGTGCAGCCACTATGAAAAACAGTTTGTAGTTTCTCCAGATAAATTAGAAATAGAACCTAGCAATTGCACTTCTGGGTATTTACCCAAAGAAAATGAAGCACTAATTTGAAAATATATATGCACCTTTATGTTCACTGTAGCATTATTTACAATAGCCAAGATATGGAAGCAACCTAAGTGTCCATCAATTGACAAATGGATAAAGATGAGGTGGTACATATATATAACAGAATATTACTCAGCCATTAAAAAGGAAATCTTGCCATTTGCGACAACATAGATGGACCTAGAGGGTATTATGCTGAGGGAAATAAGTCAGAAAGAAAAAACATAGCATATGATTTCACGTATATGTGGAATCTAAAGAACAAAATTAACAAACAAACAAAACAGAAACAGACTCAGAGATACACAGAACAAACTGGTGGTTGCCAGATGAGAAGGGGTGGAGGGCAGGTGAAAAGGAGAAAGGGAACATAATCAATAATATTGTGTTAAGTTTTCATGGTGACAAATGATTACTAGAATTAGTGAAGCGATCACACTATAAGGTATAGAAACATTGAATCACTATATTGTATACCTGGCACTAATATGATACTGTATACCAACTCTACTTATGTAAATTTTTTTAAAGCCAGAGTAGAGAGAATGAAACTCTGCTTTAAAGAACAGATTGACATCTAACTTACACCAGTTTTTGGAGTCTGCAAATGGGCTGAGCCAGCGCTTTACAGAGGATGGTCTGCGAGGCCTCATCGAAGGTACAGTTGTCCAAATCCAACACCTGGAAGTTCCTGCTGGTGGTGAACACTGAGCAGAGGTCCCTCCAAAAGCACAGCTTCTGGGTGTCACTATGGGAGAACAAACACCATGTTTCTCCAGTCGTGAAATTCAACTCAGGACATGCTCAAAACAGGCAGAACACCATTCCCCAAGTTCCTTCAAGCTGACAGATGCCTAGGGAGAGGTGCAGCCAGGTAAACTGAGTCGACATGGCATGGTGGTTGACAGCACAGACCCTGAGGTCACAGCAATGGGATCAAACCTCATTTAAACCACTTATTAACTATGTGACCTGGGTAAGTTATTCAATTGTATTCTGCCTCTATTTTCTTCTCTTTTAGGCAATAAGTTGATATCTGAACAAAGGTTAGTATTGGGTGATCTATCAGTGAACAGGGAACATTATCAAAAAACATGACCACACAGGTATAAAATAAATAATTCCTTGGGATGTCATGTGCAGCCTGGAACTACAGTTAACAATCCTGTTTTGCTTATTTGAAAGTTGCTAAGAGAATAGATCGTAAAAGTTCTCATAACAACAACAACAAAAAATTCTGTACCTATGTGTGGTAACAAGTGTTAACTAGACTTATTGTGGCGATCGTTTTGCAGTATACACAAACATCAAATCATTATGTTGTACACCTGACACTGAGATGTTGCATGTCAATTATACTTCAATTAAATTAAAATTAAAAAAAGAAAAACGTGACTGTGAAAAGTGGCATGTATTTGAGAGCCAAAGTTAGAGCTGGTAACCTAAACCTGATGAAGCATACAAGTTAAAATCAGCAAAGAGAAAAAACACATGGAAAAAAAAATCCAGAGGTAATCAGGCAAAAGATCCCAAGAGTCCCTTCCTCATGGAGTCACCAGGATATGCTAAAATGCCATAAGGGCAAGAAAAAAAGGCATAGTCATGGCAACAATAAAAACTGCCTTTCTTTCAATCTCCCCCTTGGCTCCAAGTAGGTAAAACATTTATTTTTGTTTATACAGATGGGGAAACCTTAGATGTCACTGCTCATGGTCACACAGCTAGCAAATTTTATTACAAAGCCATGTTTCTTAAGAGCAAAAGTATAGTGAACCATGAAATACCCAGTGGGGATTGGAATGAGCTACAGGTATGGTATGGGGCAGGGCAGGTATTAATAGATGGACTTACTTTAAGATGGCTCCACAGTCATCTGAAAACACATTTTGTATACACAGGTGAAGTTTCTGCAAATTTTGGCTATGTTTGAGGCAGAATGCAGATACCACCAAATCATCTGTGTTATTGATATAAATGTTAACATCTTCAAAGAAATCCATCACTTGTGTTATAAATTCTTTGTCCTGGGTCTCAAATAAACTGTTGAACAACTCATGGAAACTCACTACGACCTGGTTGGGGTCATCCTGACTCAAACTCTGAAGGCATTCGGTTATTTCCTGCTTTATCTCCTTGGACAGTGGAAAACCAAAGGACGTCTCCAGCATGTTCATTATTTTTTCTGTGGAAAACCCAAACAGGAAGATCCCCGTCTGCAATAGGTAGGTTGGGGCTTGAGTCACAGTTGCTTTTACAAGCTGGGCTACACTTCCGATGGCCAGGTTAGCATTGTCCTGGGGTCGTCTGAACAAATATAACATGGCAGCACAAAACTCTTGGATACACACGTGGACGAAGGTGAAACGATCGCTGTTCCTTTGGAGAAGTCGCAAGTCTACCCACATGAAGGCATCGGGTTCCGATATCCCATTCCTCCTGAGGTCCCCAGAGTGAAACACAAACGTGTCAGTCCAGATGCCGTCTGCAGCCAAGGTGCACAAGCTTTTCAGCTGGGCTCTGCTCTGCTTTGGTGGACAGTTCCCCAGTCCTGATTTGAACACACTGGTAAAAAAGGAAACATACAGAGAAGTGGTGGTTTGGGAGGCAATCCCAAGGTCTTCTCCTCTCTCCAACTGCCATTTCAAACACATACAGACCAACCAGCAGGCGAGGGGATAGTGGCACAAGACAAACAGTGAAACATTGTCTCTCACAAAACTGAAGGCTCTAGAGGCTTTATTCTTCTCCCTGAAGAAATAGGAGAAATATAGTTTCCTATTGTATTCAGAGAGCCCTGGGAGAGTGATGTACTTTGGATGCTGCAACAAGTAAAAAATTTTCTTCATGCCTGTCATTCCCAGTGCGACCAGCAGAGAAGACTCTGGAAGCAATTTTTTCTGCAACAGACTGTTCAGGATAACCTGCATTGGCTGCCGCTGCTTCCAATCACTGCACCAGTTGGTGTTGAGGTCTAGGTCAAATTTCAGTTCCTCGAAGCCATCTATGATGAAAAGGACCTTCTCTGGCTGGGAGAAAATGTCTTCAATTGGCTCTGCAGACCCAGGCCAGTCCCTGGAGAGGAGCCCCACCAAGCTCGTCTCTGTGATACTGTTCATGTCACAGCCATCCAGGAAGAAGACAAATGTGAACTTTTCCCTCCATAAGTTTCCCTCTGCCCACTCCAGCATCACTTTTCTCAGAAGGGTTGTTTTTCCAATTCCTTGAGAACCTTGCAAGACCATGGTGAGGGAATGCTGTCCAGTCTGGCCAGCAGTATATGCAGCACTCAGTTCTTCATATTCGTTCTTCGTGGCTTCAGTGTAGAAATCATCAGGCACTTGAAGGCAGGTTTCCTTTTCCCATATGAGACGAAATTTGTCCTTCATGTGACTTTTATAGGGGTTGAGCTTATCTGAGTTAATGAGGATAGAATCCATGACAATTTAAAAACGCATTAATTCACAATAGCCGAGACAAGAAATGACTGGATAAAGAGGTGGTACATATATACAGTGGAATATTACACAGCCATAAAATATGACGGAATACTGCCATTTGCAACAACATGGATGGATCTTGAGGGTATCATACTAAGTGAAATAAGTCAAACAGAAAAAAAAAAGAACCACATGATTTCACTCATGTGTGGGATATGAAACAGAAAGCAACAAACAAAACACACAAACTAACTCATAGACACACAACAGTATGGTGGTTTTTCTAGAGAGGAAGGGGGTGAGGGGAGGAGGAAGAGAGTAAAGGGGGTCAAATATAGGATGATGGAAGGACACTAGATTTTAGGTGGTGAGCACACAGTGGAGTGTACAGATGTCATATTACAAAGGTGTACACTTAAGACATATGTTATTAACAAAAGTTACCCCAATACATTTAATCTTTTTTTTAATGCACTTATTTTTTCATACTCATAACAACCCTACAGAGTTACTTAAACACATGAGGAAAGATGTACATCCATGGATGACCAGGCTAATTAACTTAGTTTCATTAGAATCTATCTGAAATCCTGTCCACAGAAGCATCTGACCAAAACCAGAAGCCTATCTCAGAGTTGCAGGCTACACAAAGTGTGGACACTTGGAAATGTGGACATTTGATAATTGCATTCCAAACTGAAAGGGGGTAGGGGTGGTCTCTCCCAAGTAAAGAATTGTAAGTGCCACCACGTATGGAGGGTATGCCAGGAATCAGGTCAAAGGGCATCGCTCCTGCTATCGTATCTTGCATCTCCTCAAGAATTCATCAAAATTCACTCAACTCCCACTGAACGAAAAATATTGAGAGTTTATTACTCAGCTAATTTGGACTAGTGAATAAATATTAGGATCAGGGGTTTATCCCATCTCTGACCTGAAACTGTGAGGTCTAGGTGATTCCTACTGTGCCATGCTACTGTAGTTAATTTGAGAAAGGCACCCTTGAACCACCCTTACTATCTACCATCCACGTTCAAGGCAACACATTAGGGGAGGTGCACAAAACTACAAATACAGACAAGGACCTCATCCTGTGCTGAAGAAATGCACATCACAGTAGGAGAGGCATCTCTGCATGTCTTCCAAGCAAAGGGCATTCATTGATAGCTTTGTTCAAGGATGTATGACTAGAAAACAGCCTCGGGATGGAAAGAGAGTTTTTTCCTCTCTGGGACAGAGAAAGATTTGTTTATAAAAACAAAAGAAATTAAGAGATCTCTCTATCTCTCTGTCTGTCTCTCTCTTTCCTTCCAGGAGAAGGGGCAGGGTCATTCACAGTCATGACCTGAGATTGGCATCTCTGGATTCCTCACCTATGACACGGACCTACCATGCACACAGTGTCCACCTGAGCCCTCCTCCACTGTGCCATCAAGAGACTCGGGAACAAGAGGAACCAATGTCAACATCTCATGTTTCCAATTGTGCCATTCTACATCCATCTGGGCGTATTATGTCCTTGCAGAACCAGTTTAGCAGAGGGTTGGAGCGGACCTAATGGCGGCTTGTTGCTCTGGAGCTGCCTTAGCGAACAACAGTCCTCACCACTAAGCTAGGTGTCCACACACCAGGAGGCACCCTTTGGTTTATCTATTTCCATGCTGATACTTCAGGGTGATTACAATCCTTCTGAGTCTCAGTTCGCTTATTAGAACAGAAAGTCTCGTCTCACAAATAGATAAAATCAATGAGAGAATAACATGTAAGACTGGTTAAAGCATGCTGCAGCTTTCAATTACTGTCTTAGAGATGAAATTTTTAAAAATGACTTGTCTGACATTTTGTCTCTTCATTTGCCAGGACTTAAAATTCAACTCCTCTTCTTTCTGGGGGAAAATAAAGGAGTATCCTCCCAGAGGAAAGGTATAAATCCCCAATGAGTCAAAAATAACTGGTGTGGAGTCAGATCTGTCCCTTGAAGGGACACTGTTCAGTCCACAGCCTTCCCATTGGCAAATCTCAGAGTCATGGTGAGAATGAAAAGATATTATGCATAAAAAGTGCTTCCTGCATACTATAAGGAAAGAGAGAGACAGAAACACACTATAATTATATCCTAACATTAGGACTCTAACATTAGGACTCTAGGAATTCTATCTCAGCAGACCTGGTAATGCAGACACTAAGGCCCAAGTCTCTTCCTGTGATAGCACAGACTTGTGTTGGGACAGAAAAATGGGGACGCCACTTAGATGACAGTCTGTCTCAGGACACTACCCATCTGCAGTCCATCACTGGCCCATGTATGAGCAGAGTTGGCTTGCAATTCCTCTACTGCCTCCAAGGTTCTCACTGACCCATGACACATTGTCAACAGACAGAAGGGTGGCCATTAGCTTAGTGACAATGTCACCTTCTTTATGACAAGCTCTCAGTGGATCCACCTCCTGCTGTGGCTCCCACCCTTACTTCTGCATCCCACACTTACTTCCTGCTGTGGCTCCCACCCTTACTTCTGCATCCCACACTTACTTCTTATCTCTTCCTGAGCCTTGGTCCAGAGGTCACACCGATTGATCTGTAGAAACAGGCTCAGTGTCACCTCCCACGCCTGTTTTCCTGGGTAATGCTTGTCCAGAAGTTTTGCTAGATCTTCCCTTGACGCCTTCTTGAGCATGGGCCATGGGATTGGCTTGAGTTCGAATTTCAGAAGTTCTTGCTTGAGGAGCTCCTTGAACTTCCAGAACTCTTCCTTTTGGAGCTCTTTCAGGTACCAAAAGAGGCCAATATCAGAAAAAAGAAATTCGGCCATCTTGTCCCAGGATTGTAAGCTGACTCTTCCAGAAAGGGGAAAAAAAAATCTTCAAAAAAAAAAAAAAAAGAAAGAAGTGATTCCTGGGGGAAAATGATGTCATTACAGAGTTAAATCACAGCAATTGAAAGTGGCTTCAGCTTACTGATGTCACCCAACTTCTTGCTGAAAACACATCTGGCCAGCTTCATCTGTGGAAGGCACCCCATCCTTCCTCTACATTCCACAGTCATGCATGTGAATTCAGTGCTAGAAAAAATGTCATTTACGCTAAGCCAAATGCCAGGGAGAGCGATAACTACCTAAGCCAAATGCCAGGGAGAGCGATAACTACCTAAAACCATAATAAAGCTTTGGGGGGTTATCAGTGGGACAAGGACATTGACCTTGTGTCATTACGGAGCTTCTGTCTAAAGTTCAAAAAGATGGTGTTATTAACGTTCCTTGAAGGACAGTTTCTGGTCTAGCTTGACTAAATGACAAAGATCTTTAAGAATCAAACACCTTTGTATGTATGGACCAACCACATCTTCTTGATCCAGTCATCTATTGAAAGACACTTAGGTTGTTTCCATGTCTTGGCTATTGTAAATAATGCTACAGTGAACATGGGAGTGCAGATATTTTTACGAATAAATGTCCTCAAATTTTGGGAGTAAATATCCAAAGGCAATAGGAGGACAAAGTGTAAAGGGGGTCAAATACATGGTAACAGAAAGAGGCTAGACTTGGGGTGGTAAGCACAAATGGAGTACACAGATTATAAAGTATTAAGAAATTGTATACCTGAAATTTATATAATTATTAACAATGTTATCCCAATACATTTAATTTTTTAAAATATCAAACACCTAAAGCTATGCCTTTGGTGCATGAATGTTTTGATGAATCCCTGAAATGTAGAAAACAGAGCTGTGGTTGGAAAAAAAAGTTCCAAATTTCCAAACAAGTCATCCACGGGCACTCCAGCTTATATCCTGTGGTCCTGGATCTCCATCTCCATGATGGGTCAAGGAAATATTCTTCAAACCATGTGGCTGGTTAGCACACAGAACAAAGAAAAGAGATGAAAAGTGTAGATAGTGTTAATGGCTCCAGAAATTCCAACATCTATCTCACTGAAATCCTCCCCCCCCACCATATGTATGTATGTATGTATACATACATACAGAGGGAAAGAAATAATTCATAGAAGAAAGCTTTCCATATGCATCTTCAAGATAGAAGACCTTGCCAAGAATTAAGGCATTGAAAAGATAAAAACTCACATCATATTCAGATTCCATAATTCCAAAGATAAAGAAGAAAAGTCTAGGGCAGCTAAGTGTATTATACAACTGTAACATAATAAGAGTCACATTTGTAATTTTAAACTTTTGAGTAGCCACGTTAAAGAATTTAATCCAACAGGGGAAATCAACTTTAATAATATATTATTTCACCCAGTATGTCTAAAGTATCAATTCAACATGTAAGCAATATTCAATTTGATGAAATATTTTGCCAGGTTTTTTATACTGTCTTCCAAATTTCAGTGTGCATTTCACACTTAAATACTGTCTCAATTCAGATGCTAAATTTCCATTGGAAATACTCGATCTCTGTTTAAATTTCATAAAATATGTAAGTGAGGAAAGGAAATTCTCATACTCAAGGTATTTCATACATATATAAGCCTCCTGAAAACTGAATTGGGAGTCAGTGATAAAATTAAAATTTGCATTAATTAAAATTAAGAATTCAATTCCTCCATCTCACTGAATACCTTGCAAGGGCTTGACTGCCACACGTGACTACTAGTGGCTACTATTTTAGACAGTGCAAGGTCTAGACTTTGAGAAATGTATGAAGTTTACTAACCAGAAGGGGTGAGAGTCAAATGATTGAATACCATGATATTTCATAACTGCCACACTCTCGTTCCCAAACAACGCACTGAGAATCACTTTTTGACAAAAGGATAGGAATCCATTTGTGAGAATCTTTACTGACAATACTGAATGTAAGTCAACATACAAAGAAAAAAGTCTGCAGATATTAAAACAAACTCTTAATGCATCTACAATTAAAGCACAGTAGGCCTCACAAATGAAGAGGCAAGAAGAGTACGAAGTGCGGAATAAACCAAATCACAGACAGACACCTAGTGACTGATAAAGCATGCATTTCAAACCACCAATGCAAAGGCGGACTTTGTGATAACTAGTTCAGGAACCACTCATTGGCTAATTAGAAAGAATGAAAATAAAATTCAAGCCTCACCCCTATACAAGAAAAAAATGCATATAGATCTGTGACCTAAATATAAAACTGAAAAACCTGCAAGTATTAAAGTAGTGTATGAATTCCTGGGTTACCTGGGCGTAGAAAGAATTTCCCAATTATACTTAAAATCCAGATACAGCAAAAGATTTATTTTTTTAAAGGCTCACATGGAGGTACATATATACAATTGAATATTACTTAGCTGTAAAAAAGAATGAAATATTACCACTTGCAATAACGTGGATGGACCTAGGGTCCATCCACTTACTGTGCTGAGTGAAATAAATTGGACAGAGAAAGACAAATGCCATATGACCTCACTTACATGTGGAATCTAAAAAACAAAGTAAACGAACAAACAAAATGAAAACAGACTCTTAGATACAGAGAACAAACTAATGGTTGCCAAGTGGGTGGGTGGTTGGGGCTGGGTGTAAAGGGGAAGGGATTAAGAAATACAAACTAGCAGTTACAAAACAATCAGGGAAATAAAGTACAGCACAAGGAATATAGTCAATAATGTTGTAATAACTATGTGGTGCCAGGTGGGGGCATCATTTATAAGGTGTATAAATATCTGACCACTGCTGTACACCTGAAACTAATATTGAATGTCAACTGTAATTGAAAGGTAAATTTAAAAAGGATATTTTAACAAAATTTTCTTTACAAACACATTAAAAAAGTAATAAGAATCAAGTAGAATTCATTTTAATATGTTTTTATTTAAAAATAAATGAGAAAAATATATATAATTTTAAAACTTACATGTGCATTGTAAATAATATAGATTGATGTCATATGATTAATTCTAGTAAATAAAGTGATAAAGTATTTTCTCTCTGGCCTCCTTCGCTTGGCACTATTTTGTAAGGCTCATCTGTATTGCTGTCTGAAGCTCTAAGTGGTCCATTGCATTGTCGTATAGTATTCTACTGTTGCAGCTTCTAAGTGCTATGGTTGACTAGCATGTACATATTTTTCTAGCTTTTCTACAACATGAATGATGCTTCTGTGGAGAAGCTTTCCCATGCACGTTGGTGCATTTAAACAGATATCTTGCTGGGTTTATATTTATAGGCTGTAGCCTGTATGGATTGTCATATTTATGACATAATGCCCAACTACTTTCCCTCATGAATAATTTACATTTTCACCAGCATCCTATTAGTTTTTTTGCTCTTCCATGCTGCACATACAGAAGAAAGTCTAAGCCAATGGAAAAGAAGGAAATGACATTAAAATCACACATGATCTTATTCTAGGAGATGGAAGTAAAAAGTGGGGAGAGAACATCAAAGCAAATTTAAGTTTTCTTCTTATTTGGGGGGAATGCCTTCTAATACTATAGAGTATAAAGGGGAAATTAGATTTATTGTAGGTTAATATTTGTAAAGAAACTACAAGTCACCATCATCAATAAAACCCCATATGTCAAAAATTTAATTGTACACCAATGATCATAGCAGTGTTATCACAAGAGCCAAAAGATAGAACCATCCCAACTGTTCGTCAAGGGATAAAGAGATAAAGCAAATGTGGTGTATATGCACGCAATGGAATATTACTCAGCCATAAAAAGGATTAAAATTCTGACACATGCTACCATGGGGAGAAACTTTGAAAACATTATGCTAAGTGAAATAAGCCAGAAAAAAAGGACAAATCTCATGTGATTTCTCTTATATAAGACACCTAGAATTGTCAAATTCACAGAGACAAAGAATAAAAAATAGAGGTGCTGGGAGCGGGGATGGGAGCTGTTCAGTGGAGAGTGTCAGTTGTGGGAAAAATTCTAGAGAAAATGGTGGTGATGGCTACATAACGATGTAAATATACTTAATGCCACTGTACTCTTAAAAATGGTTAAAATAAGGGGGAAGAGGGTTGGGGGAGGACTAAGAAAGTGAAGGAGTCAAATACATGGTGACAAAGAGAGACTAGACTTTGGGCAGTGAGCATGCAATGCAATAGACAGATGACATCTTATGGAATGGGACACTTGAAACTTATATAATCTTATTAACCAATTGCACCTCGATACTTTAAAAGTGGTTAAAATAGAAACTTTGTTTTACCACAATTTTACCACATTTTACCACATTTTACTACAATTTAAAAACAAAAACAAAAAAACACTTCTGTGTCCTGAGCTTTTTCACTAAACATTCCTTTCTGTTCCTTTTCTAGTTGAAACCTTCTTCTAAACATGGTGTGGGTGTCCTTTGAAGCTCTCCCAAATGCTGGCTGCTGAATCTGGCACCCCTCGCACCACAAGGTACAGAGGTAAGTGGATGCCCTCACCAAAGAGCCCCAGCTCCTCATGGCCCTTCATCAGGCGGCATTAGGCCCTCCAGCCAGCATCTTCTCCTGTTATAGCCATCCTGTCCTTGGCACAATCTGCCTCATCCTCAAACTCACACTACCTGGCTCACTCTCTCCTCTAGGACTTCTGTAGTCACACAAAACCAACATCAACCACAAAGTTACTTACATGTGATTTAGCCTAACATTGGGACCCCCTAGAAACTCTGGAGGGTAAAAGGTTAATCTTTAGAAGCCAATCAACCCAATTACCATGAACACCAGTCTGGAACTGCACTCCCCCTACTCACCCATGTGCTCTTCCCTTCCGTGACCACCCCTGGCCCAAATCCCAGTTTCCTTTTGTCTCCCCAATTATGGGAATCTCACAATCAGAATTGAGAGGGCAACCAGGACTAAGGAACAGCAGC